GGAATCGACGGTAGTCTGTTTTTCGCGGGGTCAGTTGAAAACCACAAACAGTCGTTCAGTGTCAGTGTCGGCTCGGCTGAGGGAAGGTCATGCTTAGTCGCAAGAATTTCGATTGAACTTGGTCACTCCTGTGAGCAGATACATGAACAGAAGTGCTTTTTTCTGTTCGACCACGCGGCGCGCTGCTGAAGCTGAGCTGAGCTCAAAATCAAGTCGGCTCTCAGTTCAGTAGGGCGCGGCTCGGGGCGGCTCGGCGAGACGCGGGAAAAAGGAGCTCACCAAAAATATCTTCCCCCCCTCCCCCCAACCCTTTTCCCGCCGCTGGTGAGCAACATTTTGAGTGCATCTGGGCCATTGCATCACTCGACATCCGGCAACATTTTGAGTGCATCTGGCGCAAATTTCAGTCCCGATGCATTCCAAATGCTCGTGCCTGGCGAGTAGTGCAACTAGCCCCCAAAGCGCAGAATTCGGCCCGTGGCCACTGCAGCGCCAGCGGGCGCTGCTCCTCTCTTCTCTCTGCTTTTTCTTTATTCGTTATTTTTCCATTTTGGAAGGTTGGTGCTTTTGTGCGCGCGCAGCGCTCAGCATCCAGCGCTCATCTCCCCGCCTTCGGCCCTTGTTCCGCTACTCGCAAAGTGGGAGTGCACCTTGCGAAAGAAAATGGCAATCTACATCCGTGAATCTCACAATTGCCGAGCCGTGGAAGTATGCCAGTCTCTCTCTCCACTCCCGCCGCCCGGCGCTCAGCGGCGCTGTAACCAACCAGTCATCAGTCTCCTGGCCTTCGCAACCTGTTACTGACAAGTTGGCTTTTGTCTTTTTCTTTCCGAAAACGAGAACGCCGGTACGTAATCTTTTTACTGTATCTTCCGGGGGATTCCAGCCCTCGAATTGTGTGGGCTCAACTCACCAAATGTCACCGAATGTGGACAGGACGAGTGGTGGGTGTATCTTTCCACGTTGTTCCCCAAGATTCGTTCTCCATTTCGCACATTTCGGTGTAATGAGTCGCACGACGAGGCCCTTCAGCACTAGCCAAGAATAAAATTAAATGATAGTTACTTGTAAGATTAAGGGTCTGGTTAGACACTCCTAAACGAATCCTAAAATTTTTTGGACGAGTCCTCAAGGTTTTTTAGGATTTCGTGCGGCGTCCTTACACGCAATCCTAAAAATCATCTTTTAGGATTCGTCCTAAAAGGTCTCCCACGGCCGTTTTTCATATGTGTATACGCAGCCGCGCCGCCGATGTCCTTCCTAACCCTAGCTGGTGTCCGTGGTACAAACCGCGGAGGCCCTTGGGCGGGTGAGGAGGGGGCGGTGAAAATCACGGTCACCCCGAACTTCGAAAATTCAAATTCGAATTTTCTCGGATGCAGGATGGCGGGGCGGAGGACAGCCAGGCGACGCGTGTGACATACAAGCGACAGCGCTGGCGAACCGTTCGGCGTGGGTATCCGTCTTCCAAGTCCACGCAAGTTGTGACCAGCGGGCGCACCTCCCTGCAAGGTGCATCTTCACCTCCACCATGTGTGCTGTCCTGTGGAAGCGTAGAGCAGCGGGCGCGTCTTCGGCTCCAGCGTACGGCCTCTCCTGTGGCAGCGTACAGCGGCGGGCGCTTCTTCGGCTCTGGCGTGCGTGGATTTGGATCTGCTGGAGGGTTGAGCAGCGGGCGTGTCTTCGGCGACTGTGGCAGGCGTCACGCTGTGGAGGCGGAGCGATTCTCAGAGATGGATGTTCGTGGCTGCGGGCAAGGTCTATGCAAAGAAGAGATCAACGCGGTGGCGATGGCGGTGACTGCCGTCGTCGTCAACACGATGAGTGGCATGTCGTCGTCCTCACGCGATATGCTGACGCAGCTCCGTAAAAGAAGAGCGTTGTTGCAGAGCATTGCGGAAGCGTCGGATTGCGTGGCCACGTGTGAGGCAGTCGTTCAGTTGTGTGTCGCGCTGTCGTCTCGCGTTTTCCCACAGCAGACCCCGCGTTGGTGGATTAGACGACGGATTGGCGGAACATGGGAGGACCTCCGCCTGTGCGATGACGCAACGGACGAGTACTACCACCAGAAGTTGCGCATGTCGATGGCCATGTTCAGGCAGATCGTAGCCGCGTGCGCCACGTACGTGGAGAAGAAGGTTACGCACTACAGGATGTGATTGCCAATGGAGCAGGTGATCGCTTTCGCGTTGTACAGGTGGGCGTTAGGAGAGATGTACGAGAGCGGCACGTCAGCCCTCGGCATCGGCAGGGCAACTGGACTGCAGGCCGTCCGCGACGTCACTTTGGCGCTGCTGCAGGCGTACCCCGACGCGATAAAATGGCCAGTGGGTTGTAGACGTGCGCAGATTCTACGCGCTTTTCGTGACAAGGGTTTTTCGAACTGCTTCGGCGCAATCGATTGTACACACATCTACATTGACAAGCCCGCCGGCGCACCTTTGGAGAACTACTACGACCGCAAACAGAAGTTTTCCATGCAGGCGCAGGTGGTGGTGGATTTGGATATGCGGATCCTCAACGTCCACGTCGGATACCCAGGAAGTGTGCACGACATTTGTGTCCTGCACAATTCCCAACTGTGGAGGCGTGCAGAAGCTGGCGAGCTGTTCGACGCACCTCCGGAGAATCTCCCGCACGGTGTCGTCACGCGAGGGTACCTACTAGGCGACAACGGTTATCCAGTCGCCTGTCCATGGATCGTGCAGCCGTACGGAGGAATCGACCAAGATCCTGACGAGGAGCGCTTCGACACGTGGCAGAAGGTGGTGCGGGGGTGTGTGGAGAGGGCATTCGAGCGACTGAAGTGCATGTGGCGTCTGTTCCTGCGCACCCACAAGACGAACCTGGACACCTTGCCACAACAATTTGTGGTCGTGTGCACTCTCCACAACATCCTCCTCGACGAGGGGATCGACTTCGATGAGAACCTTTTGTGGGAGGTGGATGAGAACGACGTTCGACGTAGAGTATACTTGGGCATTGTGGGGAACGGCGCGGGCGGGCGGTGACGGAGCACGAACGTGGATGGGGACCTGTTGCAAGATGCACTTCGAGACCGCCTAGCTCTGATGTAGGACCGTGTAGACAGGGGGTGGTGGTGAAGCGGGAGGACGTGGGTTGGTGCGATCGAAAGGCGGGAGGAATTGTGACGTGGCCCGTGTCCATGGTCGTCGTGCGCGAAGTTGCTGGGGCGATTGAATGGCGACATGGTTGTCGTTGATGAGTTCGTTTGTTTTCATCGTGTGGACGGTTGTGTGGTCCGCACAGTTGTGCGAACGTTTAATATCGGAAGAACCTTTTTTGTGTGTGTGACTCTCTCAAAATGGTTTCTTGTTGTTGTTGTTGTTGTTTTTTCTCCTTCTTTAAATCGTTTGTCTTCAATGGTGTCGTGTGCTGCCAAGTTTTTTTTTGGTTTTTGTGTTTTTTTTTTTTTTTTTCAATTCGTTTGTCACGCATGTTTCGTCTGGTGGTGTGGTGGGACGTCAAACATGGTTGTTTAAATCATTAATGGAAATTGCTTAACGTAAGTTAAAGACGACAAATACAAACAGAGAAAGGTAAACATGGATTGTGTGCATGCATAGGAGGCAATCATCTTTGAATCATTCCACTGAAGAGACGAGAGCAGCGAACACATGACAGAAAAAAAAGGTGCGCTAAAAGCGCTATGAATTTTTTTTGCAGCGAACTGCCATGATAAAAACACAATACACGAATGAATTCAAAGAACTCGTTGTCAACTCCAACGACCGACACACAAAACAGCTGCATTAAACGCAATATACACGATTGACATCAATCAAACCGCCGCTATGCCGTGCTAGACATTTACGCAACCAACGACGATTCTGGCGAGTCCCGCCTCCAGCCCCACTCTAAACAGGTGCGCACTTCACAACGGTCCAACCACAACGAAGCCCATCACGACCAGCCACTTGTACATGCGGCTGCGTTCACACAAGCATCCCCCCTCCAACCCCGCCCACTCTTCCGCCCCCTACGCGTCATATTTTCCGTCGTCGTTGTTGTCATCATCGAGGGGGGCCGAACCCAACCAATCTAACTTCTTCGCATCCTCCGGCCCCGTTGTGCTCGCGTTGTGCCTGAAACCAATGCCGCAGGGCGCCCATTGAGGGATGTAGTCGGGGTACTCTCCCAACGTGGCGTTCGCCTTCCCGAGCCACTCGGTGACGATATTTGCGGCGTGGACGACGGATCGTCGATGATCGAAGGAGCGATGCATGGCCGCGATGAGTGTGGGCTTCGCCATGAGGCTTGCGAAGTAGAAAGCTTCGTAGTGGCTGCGCGGATCGTCTCCCGCCATGCGCATTATCCACATGCACGCCTCCAACAACAGCCTGAAGCAGTCAGCCACCCGACAAAGAGGATCGTAGGAGATGAAATCCCCGTCGATGAGCGCACCCATTTGCACCGCCGCGCGGAACGCATGAGCGACGTAGATTACGGTGGAGTCCTGATGCGCCACCATGTCGTCGCCGTCCGGTCTCTCCTCGATGTTCGTGCCAGAGAACCACAATGGCAAGTCCATAGATAGATCTATCGTGTGCGCGCAAACCGTCGGGCTGACGACGTTGTACCACTCCTCGCCGTACCACATAGCACGCGCAATGTCCGTCGCTACGGACTCAAGCGAGTACTGGAAAGCCACATTGTATCCCCTTGGGCAGTTCCCCGACTTGAATACCTAGCCGTGCAAGATGCGCAGAGCAATGTTCTCCACTGCCGCTGCACGGGAGATCGCTTGCTGCACCTGTGATTGGTCGGCGATCCTGGCTACCGTCGTGCTGAATTTGGGCAGTACGACGCTCCGAGGGACGGCAGGCGGTGGAAGTCTGCTGGCGATGGCTACAAAGTACTCTCTTGTTTCGTGGACGATGTTGTAAAGTCTTCGCCCCTCCCCTGTCATCCAGAAAGCTTTGTCATCAACCCAAAGGACGACACGATCGATGAGGTCTTTCGTCATCACTCCCCTACGTACCTAGCTTGAACCGGCCTCGCCGCCCTCCCGATCGGTTTTCTTCTCGCAATGAGCATCCTCTCTCGCCGTCGCCACAAGTGCTGCCTCCTCTCTCGCCGTCGCAACGGGGGCCACAGTGCCTAAAGCACCCGCACCAGCAGCACCTGCCGACTCGCCCCCAACTTTGCGCGCGTCTGCCACGACTTCCCCCCCGCCGCCGTGTTGGACGGACCCTCCATCATCACCCGGGTTGGGCTGACGTGGCTGAGACGGCGTGGCGGGCAGTCTACCTGTCACTGGCCTTTCGTCTACCGCAGAGCATGCCACCACCGCCGGCGGTGGGGTCGTTGTTGTACGAGTGCGCAGGCGACGTTTTTCCAAGGGATCGTCATCATCGCAACCAAGATCGACGATGGCAGCCTTCTCTCTCCGCCTTTTGCGGGCACACAGTTGCTGCGCCTCGGGTGGAGGGGTTAGCATCCTCTTCGGAGCGCTGTGATCAGAGGAGCGCTGCCGACCGCTCTCCCGTACTGCAGACGCGCTCGCCTCTCCTTGCTCTTCCTCCGTCGTGAAGTCTTTGTCGTAGTCGCCTCCTACTGCTGCCGCCCAACCTTGCGCTCCACGAGGAGGCACCCTTGCGGACGCATCATCCGAACGCACCCTCTTCACCTTCGGGACATGCCGGCGACCTCTTCCCTGCCCTTGGCTGTCGTGAGGGACTCCGTCGCGCTTCTTCCCACGGGCGCTCCCTCGCGTAGGCATGCTTCGTCGTGCGAGCTTGGCGGTCCGATCGGATGAGCGGGAAGTGTTTCGTCGACCGCCGTTTGAAGTCCCGCTGATCTGGCGAGAGAAATGTCTCCCGTGCTGCCGCGGCATGACGCGGACGAATACCCGTACGACGCAGAAATACTGTCCTCCGCGGGAAGAAGACGACGACGTACACGCGGTGGACAGAAGGACGACGACCCCGGCGAGAGTGCTCCGTGGAGAAAAGATTGGCGGCGAGAAGAATAGAAGACCGACGGTGACAGTGCTCCGCGACCACCAACGATTGACGACTGACGTCCACGTGCACGCTAGAAGGACGACGACTCCAGCGAAGATCGTCCACGTGACGAGATGGCTAGAATGGTGTCGACGGCGGTCCTCCACGACATTGAAGATGTCCGCGGGGAGCAGGCGACATTTATCCGTGGCGAGCATACAACATTTCTCTGCGGCAAGCAGGCTTGTACCACACCTGCGTCGTTGCAGTCGGTGTGCAGCAGGCGCGGCGGGCTTCCGTACAGGAGACACCCTCGTGAGGACGACATTCATGCGGGTTGGGAAGCGCACGACTGAAGTACTCTCTCGCAGATGGACCGCCCTTGACGTCGCTTCTCTGTGGCGGGAAACGACATCATCGACGGTGGCACGTGCGACCGCCCTGCCTACCCTGGCAGGTATTTTAGATCCTCCCCAAGGCGCGAAAAGACCCTTCGACGTCCCTGGCGACGCGCGTTAATGCACTCGCCAGGGACCAAAACTAAAGCAATGCACCTTCTCCCCTGGCCACCCCATCGCGTCTCCCCCTCCCAGCCACCGACCAAACCTCCCCCCCCCTTCCACTCGAAACCCCCTCGTCCACAATTCTGAAACCACACACACCCTTCCAGACGTTGCTGTCTGCTTGTTGATCTAC